AATGGGAAAATTAGCTCCAGAAGTGTTTTTTAGAGCTTTAAAGCAACGTGGATCTAAACGTTTCTTTGGAGTTCCGGATTCACTCTTGAAGGATTTCTGTGCCTTCGTAACGGATCACACACACCCCTTTGAACACGTCATTACGGCAAATGAAGGTAATGCTGTAGCCATGGCAACTGGACACCATCTAGCTACAGGGGAATTCCCCGTTGTCTATATGCAAAATAGTGGATTGGGAAATACAATAAATCCACTCCTTAGCCTTACACACTCGGATGTTTATGGTATTCCATTATTAATGATTATTGGTTGGCGAGGGGCACCAGGTGTAAAGGATGAACCGCAGCATGTAGCTCAAGGTAGATTAAATGAAGATCTTTTACGTACTACAGAAGTTCCCTTCTCTGTTTTAACTGCAGATTGTGATGATGTGGAAGCATCTATGCAGAATGCACTGGATACAGCTTTTAATCATATGCAAACTGCAAAAACACCTTATGCTTTATTGGTACGTCCAGGAGTATTTAGTAAATATCAATTACAAAGTAATCAAGAAGAAGTAAAAGGAATTCCAATGTCTCGTGAAGAGGCTATTGAACAAGTATTACGACAACTTAATCATAAAGATATTGTGGTAAGTACAACTGGAATGCCTTCACGAGAAGTTTTTGAAGTACGTGAACGTACTGGAGTTGGACATGCTCATGATTTTCTTACTGTGGGTAGTATGGGTCATTGTTCATCTATTGCGGCCGGTATAGCTTTAGCAAAACCAGAAAGACAAGTCTATTGTTTTGATGGTGATGGTGCAGCTATTATGCATATGGGTTCTCTTGCCGTTATTGGTGGTACCGCCGCTATTAAATCTATCCATACAAACGAACCAAATCCTTTACAAAACTACAAACATGTGGTATTCAATAATGGAGCGCATGACTCTGTAGGAGGTCAACCTACTGCTGGCTTTGATATATCTCTTACACAAGTTGCTAAAGCGTGTGGGTTTAAAATTATTCGGGAGGAACCTGTAATGAATATGGGTGAATTGGTGGAGGCTGTAGGGGAATTGAAAGAGAGTGCGGGGCCAGCATTCTTGGAAATAATTGTGCGAAAGGGTAATCGTCCAGATCTCGGTCGTCCGACTACCACACCAAAGGAGAATAAGAAGGCCTTTATGGATTTCTTGAACCAGAATTAATTGATCAAACTCCGAAGGAAAGAAAGGGTAGAAGAAGAAGAAAAAAAAAAAAAAAAGAAGTATACATTTCTGTAGAAGGTAGGTTCCTGTTTTTTTTTTCTTTTTTTGCTTCTTAGGTGTCCTTTTTTTTTTTCTCTCTCTCTTTCTTTCTTTCTATGTGTGCATTTCTCTCCGTCGAAAAAAGGAAATAGAGGTGTTACCAAATAATAAGAAGAAAAAGAAAAAGAAAAAAATGTTAAGGCGAACACTTTTTCTTCGAAAAGTAACCCGATCATGGACAAAATCTTCCATTTCCGCAGCATCGGCTCACTTTCCAGATGCCATAAGAGTAGATCCTGCTGCTCAGAGAAGTGCAGCGACCTCGGCAAAGGAACAACGCACGTGGGTACTGGATGATTTCTCAAACAATAAACCCCGAAAGATACCAAAACATATTCAATGGTTAACACGAAAAGCGAGTTGTTGGGCTCAATTGGTGCGTGCGGATAAACCTGTAGGGACATTACTATTACTATTACCATGTTACTGGGGTTCTAGTCTCGCCGTAACACGGGCACTTGTATGGGAAGGAGCAGATCCTGTCGTTCTCTTTGCTCCTTTTATTCCTGTACATCTTATTATACTTTTTGCTACTGGAGCTTTTTTAATGCGTAGTGCTGGATGTGTTATTAATGATATGTGGGATAGAAAATTTGATCGTTTAGTTGAACGAACCAAAACACGACCGTTAGCTTCTGGAGCAATGAGTATGACTGAAGCCTCAGGTGTTCTTGTGGTTAATCTTGCTTTGGCATTAGTTATTGCTTTGAATTTATCTCCTATGGCTCTTGTGGTGGTGGTATCCATTACTCCTCTTATAGTTCTTTATCCATTTATGAAACGTGTTACTTATATGCCACAATTATTTCTTGGACTTTGTTATAATTGGGGTATTTTTGTAGGATATGCTGCCGTCTTGAATCGTGTGGATCTTGCAGTTACTTTACCAATCTACACTGCTGCTGTGGTATGGACTGTTCTCTATGATACAATTTACGCCTATCAAGATAGAAAAGATGATATTAAATGTGGTGTGAAAAGTTCTGCTCTTCTTATTGGTGATCGTAAACATATTCTTATGGCTATGATATTTCCTGTGGGTTTAGGAATTCTTATTTCTGGTTTAATGGTTTCACAATCTCTTCCATTTTATATAGCAATATTGATATGTGTTTGGTATCTACAAGGTATTGTAGATGATGTTAATATATACGATGGTTGGTCATGTGCAACAGGTTTTAGAAGAAATGTACGGTTTGGCTTTTTTGTATTCTTGTCCATGTGTCTTGGAAATGTTTTTTGGGCATTAGCCTCTGAACATCAGAAGGAAAAGGATGCTGAAAATAGTTCTGTATCTGAACAATCTGCTTTAATGAAGTTTTTACTGTTTAATAAGGAAGCAGAGAAAATAGCCTATGATGTACATGATGTTCGCTGGGTAGATCGTTTTGCCCATCCAGCCTACATTGTAGCTCAGCAAGTAAAACACGATTCTGCACAAGAATCATTAGTAATCCCTGCATGGATGCGACGTGAATATTTGGCTGAGAATGTTGGAACTATTTTACGTTTCTTTGGAGTAGAAGAAGAAATTATTCAATCATGGCAAGAGTGGTGGTATGCGCAGCTGGATCATTATAATATGTTCTCTAAGATTGCAATTTAACGAATACATATTTGGAGTGGGTGAATGGTGGGGGGGGTGAGAAAGAAAGAAAGAAATAAAAGAAGGGAAAGAAAGGTATATAAGAAAAAGAGAAAGAGGAATAAGTGTTGCTTCAGTTTTATTTTTTATTTTTTTATTTTCTTTTCTTTTGTTTTAGAGCTGAAGAAAAATGAATATGAAAGAATAAATGCTGTATAAAATTTTTCTTTTCTTTTATTTTTCTCATTATTTGTTTCTGGTATTAGGGAAGTTAAACTTCTATTTTTCACATTAAAAAAAATTTTTTTAAATTACATATTATATTTATAGCAGAAGGAGGATATTTTCTCTTGGAAAAAGGTGAGAAGAAGAAGAGTTCTTAACAGTGATCACGAGAATTATGGAAACGACAGAGTTAAACCCTCAGTCAAAATCAACAGAAATTTATCCCAAAGAATTAACTGAACTCATTCGTCCATTTTCTTCCGACACCTCATCACATCGTATTGCCAAATTAGTGGAACCCTTTGATGCGGAAGAACATAATTTGCGAGATATTTATATTATTAGTTGTCAAGAACATCGGGTACAGCCTAATAAGCAAATTCTTCGTCAATTATCACCTGTTATTGGTAAGGAATGGCTTAAAAAGGTTAGAGTACTTGATTTTTCTCTAGTTTACTTGGGATCTGATGGATGCTCTGCACTAATTCCTGTTATTGCGTTTTCTTCATCTCTTACACATTTAATTATGCCTTCCGTTGGGTTAATAGGGGAATCTGCACGATCACTTTTTGCCCTTGCGCAAGTTCACCCTTCACTAACTTGGATAGATGTTTCTGGGAATCATTTAGATGATAATGTAGGGCGATGTATCTTAAACACCGTTTTGGAAAATCATCATATTCATTTTCTGATATTGCATGATACTGGTATTAGTTTTCCTATTATTCGAAAAATTGAACATCATTTGGAGTCTAGAGGCAAAGGTCATAACTCAGAGCATAATCAATTTTCTCAAACACTTGAGTTGGGAAGATTTTCATCTTTAGAAAATAGTTTTTCCACAACATGTGCTCTTTCAACAGTTAGTACGCGAACACGTCGTCTTCCACGTTTTGTTGCTACAGGTTTAGTGGAACTTCGACATCGATTGTATCAAAACCGATATTGTTTAGATTATGTGTATCAGTGTTTTATTCTTCCTCCAAGTAAAGATGATGATAATGATAATGATAATAATAATAATAATAATAATAATAATAATCTGGAAGCCCTTATGGACTTTAGGAAAATAAATGATCAATGGGATACTGTTTCTATATCTACTATGCAAAGTGGACGGTGTTCATGGCGAGCCTTTTTTCGAGGTCTTCGTCTTCTTGGAATTCATGCGGTTTCTCATTCACTCACAGAGAGTGTGATATTTGCGACCTCTTGTGGTATATGTAATTTAGAGACTATTTCTTTTGGTAAACTATTAAGTTTTCTAAGACCACATGTGGCCATTAAGGAAGTATTATCAAGAAAATCATCAGCTTCTATGCGTACTTCTTTTTCTTGTCTCCCAAATGTATACTCATCTTCATCTGTGAGAACAAAACGTGGTGAACATCTTCCATCAATTGTTTCTAAACCATCTCCTACTATCACACCATTGAGATTGATGAAATGCACTAAAAATACAATTGGTCTTGTTAATTCTAGGGAATATAATATAATGAATAAAGAAAATGTTTCTAAAAATCTGGATGGTCTCTTAAAAGGAAATCAATCTTCTAGGAGAGTTTCTTTTTCTTGCACCTCAGTGGATTTGAGTTTAGGACTTTCACATTCTATTAAAAGTCTCCCATCGTCAACTAAAACATTAGAAGAACGATTTGAACTGGATCGTTTTTTCACTTCACGAAGTGTACAATATGTGGTAGATCGGTTATTTGATGCACAAAATGCTCTTAGAGAGTATTTTCAGCCATCCGATAAACTTGAAACTACTACACCGCAATTAATACCTCTCGATGAAGTACTGCGGAGTGCATTGTTTTTTGTAGGGGAAGATCATTATGAAATTGTCAAAACTTTCCTAGAACCATGGATAGTCAATATAGACGGTTGTATACAGGTAGATACAGAAGGATGGCTTGGCTCCATGTATATTCCAGACTCAAAAAGTCCAAATGGGATACCATTTTCATTGTCTGAAGAAAAATGCATGTGGAAGACTGTTGAAGTAGATGCCTTGATATGCGCTATCAATCAGTGGTAAGAGATTTTTTTTTGTTTCTTGACAGCTTGCGAAAAGAATAATCGAATCTAGCGCCAATAACCAACGGATCTGGGGTAAGGTATATTAGTGTTGGAATTATTATTATTATTATTATTATTTTTTTCTTCTTTCATCTTTACAGTCTGTCACATATAAGTTTTGTGAAAAACCTCCCAACCCAACCCTCAACGCACTGAGCGGGAGACGAGGTTAAAAGGGCTTCTCAATACACTTCCATTTTGTCAATTCTGTTATTTATTTAGGGAATAACCATGGAGGAAAACTATCGGTATATATATATATATAAATTACGGGAGAATGTGGAGCTCAAGACGATAAATTATATTTTTTTTTTCGTCTTTGTTTCTTCTACATTTTTTACTTTAGGGAGAAAAACAAGGCTTAGATTATTCTGGAGAATATGTTTTTTTTTTCTCCTTGTAGCTCCCATCATTACTTGCGATTTAAAATTATCTGGAAACTATTATTACTATTATTATCAATACCCCTAGTGGTTTTTTTCTTGTCTTTTCTTGGAACACCCTTTGCACGAGAAATTCTTCGCCACTGTGAAACCGCGAGACACCCTCTCTGTCTCTCGTTATTGGCGGTTTTCTTGTTTCGAACAAAGAAAAGAGAAAAATGTATACTCTCTTGATTCAAAGACCCCTTTACTTCAATGGGAATCCTTTTTTTTGGTTTGTTTGTAATGTATGGTTTATATAAAAAAGAGGGTTTGGGTGTGCTTTTTTTTATTTAATTGTTACTTTTTTCCCCTCTCTCTCTCTCTCTCTCTTTCCATACCCTTTTATTGTTTAATTGATATAAACCAAATAAAATGATAATAATTAGTTAAAACAAAGGCGAAAAAAAAGGGACACACAAACACTATGGAATCCACTGTTGTACCGTATAAAATTGTCGCCACCGATCTCGATGGTACTTTGTTAAACCCCGAACATCTTGTTTCAGAATATACGGTACGCGTAATTGATGCCCTGACCGCCAAGGGAGTACCTGTGGTTTTTGCGACCGGTCGCCATCATAAGGACGTTATGGAGACCAAAAGAAAATTATCTTTAAAAGGATACTTAATAACATCTAATGGAGCATGTGTGCATGATCCACAAAACCGTCCAATTATGGAAAAATACATTGAACCGTCACTTGCAAAAGAATTGGCAACATTGGTAGCAGATAATCCTGATATCACGACAAATGTTTACCGTGGGGAATCATGGCTCATAAATAAAGAAACTGATCATCTTTCTTCATACTCTCAAGACAACAAACAAGTCTATTTTTCTCAGTTGTTTGATCCTGTTACTGAGGAAAACTATGAAAAGGTACATAAATTATACTATACAGCGAGTCGGCGTGAATCGTTGGAGGCCCTTTTTGCTAAACTAGAATCAGAATACAGTGATAAGGTGAGTTACGCCTTTGCTTTACCAAATTGTCTGGATGTTTTTGCAAAAGGTATTAATAAGGGATTTGCACTTCGGGAAGTGGTACCTATTATTCTTGGTAATAAAGGAGAGAAGAATGATGAAGAATCAGCCTTGAAGATTAAAGGTTGTATCGCTTTTGGTGATGCCAGAAATGATCTTGAAATGTTAAGTGTAGTAGAGAAAGGCTGTTTAATGAAAAACGCCCAAGAAGATCTTCTAAAAGTGGCCCCGCCAGGTTTGGAAACCATAGGTGGAAATTTTGAGGATGGTGTCGCTAAATATCTTGCGGAAGTCTTTCATCTTGATATTTGAGGATTATTTCCCATTTATTTTTTTCCATGGCGAGGGCCCGAAAAGGCAGCAAGGAAAAGAGGTAAAAAAAAAAAAAAACAACTAACAGACGTTTTAAAAAAACAAATGAGCCCATGCCAAAACATATGAGTGTGATTTTTTTTATTTTTTTGCTTTTGCGTGGTTGTTTTATTTATTTTTTATTTTTCTTTTGGCGCCATTTTGGACGTTGCGTTTTTTTAGGTGTCATTTCTTTTTTTTTCTTCCCTTTTGTTTTTTTTTTTTCCGCCTTATTCCATTGACTAAGAAAACTAGGAAAAAAGCATGGGACCCGGGCGAGGAAGGTTCCTCCCCTCTTTTTTCTTCCCGATCCTTTCCGTTCTTTAAGAATTTTTTCATTTTTATCGGATTCCCTCATTCATATCCGGTGTGGTATAGTGGGTAGAACAAGCGGCTCTCACCCGCTAGACCCGGGTTCGACCCCCGGCATCGGAATTTTTTTGCCGACCCCTTTTTTTGGGTTTTCTTGTTGGGAACCTTTTTGTTCCCCCAAAAAAGGAGAAAATCCCCGAACGGCGTCGGGGGAAGGGGCGGAAAGTCGCGGCCACTGTGCCGAGGCGAAACGAAAACCCAAGCGTCGTCTCGTTTGAACCGCATGGGTAGACATGCCTCGGTAGTTTTGGATAGTGATGCCTAGGAGTTCAGGTGCCTTCTCCGGGCCTACGGGGATACCGCGTAGTTTAAGAGAAAGGGGATGTGGGTTGGTGGTGCCAAAAAGTGTGTATTTCGTCTTGTCCACATTAATGTCCATAAAATAGTTTTTGGACCATTTGTCCACCACGTTTAGTCCTTGTTGCAGTGTACTGTTGATGATGTCTCCGTTGACGTGTCGTACTGCTAGTGTGAGATCATCGGCGAAAAAATCCATGAAATAATAAGGGAACTTGGGATAGTCGTTTGCTTAGGGTGTTCATTGCTATAATGAACATAAGTGGGCCGAGAACCGTTCCTTGTGGCACGCCACGGTGGAAAAGCATTAAAGGAGAGGATTTAAAGTTTACTCGTACTTTGGCTTGGCGTCCTTTCAGGAAAGATGCAGACCATCGAATGATGTGCGGTGGGATATCCATCTCTCGCATCGCACTAACTATTCGATCATGGTCTGCAGTATCGAAAGCTTTGGCGTAGTCGACGAATGCTGCACCCGTACGCGAATCAGGGGTGGGTCTTGTGAGGGCTGCGCGTAGATGCAATAGTTGATCTAACGTCGAGTGACCAGGTCTAAATCCAGATTGTTGCGGGGTTAGTTTGTTTTCAATGACATCTCTAATACGTGCTGCGATGATCCGTTCCATTAATTTGGACAGAGAGCTAGTGAGAGTAACTGCTCTAAACGAATCTAGATCTGTGGCTTTCTTTCTGGGTTTAAGGAGTGGTACAATGATGCCTACTTTCCAAGAGACTGGAACAACGCCCTTGCGGAGACTCTCGTTGAAGAGAGCAAGAGTCTCTGCTTTGGCACGGGATCCCAAGTGTTGGAGCGCCCCGCCGTAGATACCATCGGGACCTGCGGCCGTCCCTTTAGGAAGGAGACGCTGTGCCCGTTCCTATTCTGCTTTTGTAATGGGTATGAATTCTGTATCGGTAACTGGAACGGGCGGTGGGGGGCAGGAATGGGGGTGCCGTTTAGCTCGTCTTGAATATAAGCGGATAAAGTGCTTGGCTTCCTGATTTTATTTGAGTACTGTATTATTAATCTTTATCGCCGGGGTACTGAGGGGTTCGTTGGGGCGTAAATCCTCTTCAAAACGTTCCGACAGCAGCCGTCTGCCACGGCCATGTTATCACAGAGGGTTTTCCATCCCTTATGGGATGCTTGTTTTGGCATTTCTCTTCTTCGAGCTACCAGTCTGTCTGCATAGAGAAAGGGCCTGGTATTTGTCGGATTCCGGTTTCGATCTCGTTGGGTTCTGAAATCCCATGAAAACAAGGAAAAACCATCCTTCCGGCCGGAATCGAACCAGCGACCCTGTGATATCTGCTTATTTTTCTACAGTCACATGCTCTACCAATTGAGCTACAGAAGGGTGACATCGCAGAATTTAGTGAGAATTCTGTAATTAATTTACACATAGAGTGGTTAACGGAGGCGAGGGAACCGCAGTGGTCCATCATCATCTCCTACTACTACGTCGAAGAGGGTGATGTAATGGTCGCTGTCCAGGAAGAAGGATGTCGTTCAGGACTCTAGAGGGCATTCTCGCGATATTGTCACATCTGGCGCGGACGGACCATGGCGTGTGGTGTGGGCGAGTGCAGTCTCCAGCGTTGTAAATATAACGCATCCATTATCTAGGCGCCATTGCACTAGCACATCGCCACGGGTATCAGGGGGGATCGCGCGATCCCATGCCATTGCATGCGCATTGGCATCTGCACCAATGAGGTGAGGTCCGCTTGTCGTCAAAAGGGTGTCTAGTTGCGAGGTTGTGTATGATCTCCCCAGAGGGAAGAATATGCTGACGCCACTGTTAGCGCCAGACCTTCTGCCATGTGGATCGTTGCATGAGCATGCTCAATGCTGGCAACTACGGTGAGTCCTACTTCTACTGGCAGATCTTCACGCACAAGAATCGAAACGCCGCCTCCTTTAGAGGGGCGGGACACTCCATGATGTTGGTAACCAGCGATTGTGAAACTCGACACTTCCGCACAAGATAATTTCGTCTCGCTTAGAAGGCAGAATGTCACATTCTCCTCAACAAGGGTTTTGTGGAGAGCAAGCCTCTTGGCCTGGGTAAGCCCAGCTGAGTTCCACTGCATTCCTCGCAGTGAAGGGCCGGGATTTTCCTCTACATCACCACCGCTCAGCAGCAACCTGGTGCGGGTGATACTGCTGATGGCACGTCGACGCGTGACCCAGGACCTTCTTGGATATTATTTCTGCCCCAGCACGACGTGGTTTGTCCCGGTGCTTTATAACGCCGTAGCCTAAGGGCCAACGGGTCCTCCAGAAGAAAAACGTCGCTGGCCCTTGGCTTCCTCCGACAATACGGAGTACTGGACCTTGGCAACACGATGGGGTAACCGGCATTACCCACATCGATTGGCGCACTGTGGCGGGTGTGCGGGCACTCAATTTGTTAACTTGCTGTGGCATATACGAAGGCTTTCTACAGTAGAGAAGGAAACAAGAGGCAAAGAAGGGAAGAAAGAGTAAAAGAGTGAGGAGCGCAGTACACAGCAGGGCAAAGGCAGTCCCGCACAAACCAATCACACGACACCACTGTTATCTCAGTGGGCCAACACAGAAACTCAAACATAAAGAGATTTCCAGAAAAAGAAAAAAAAAAGACTCTGTTCACCAAGTGAAACACAACTACAAATACCATCCCATGTTTTTCTTGTATTTTACTTATTCCCCTCCCTCCCAAAAGTATTTGCCGTTTCACACACAAATGAGATTCATTACAAAAAGCCGAAGCAAAAATAAGATGCACAGAAGCTGAGCGTAACACATCTCCACAACGACGACAAATACACTCAGTCATGCATCATCAGCAAAAGAAAAAAAATCATGTATTTTCCCAATAGAATTCAAAAAAAAAAACGAAAAAAAGAGAAATGACTGCACTCTGGAGGAGGCGCAGGTGGTGCCATTCATTTTACCAAATAGAGAGAGAGAGAGAGAATGGAGCCACACGTGTTATCGTATCAGTATGCTTCCTCGTGCAGAGGTGTAAAGCAATACAGGTTAAAGTATATTAGTATATTTGTTCTTTAAATTTATCCTGTGCACACACCCATGGGAGTGGGACACCAATGAGGTGCCCATATTTCAGCATTGCGGTGTGGGTGTGCATTCAGTCCTTCCTCAGCAAGACAGCACCACAGCAAGAACCATGGTGACAAACATGATGGGAAGAGAGCAAACTGCAGAAAGAGCATCATCTTTACCAAGTTCAGTTAAAATCCCTGTGCTGTTCTGCATATTGTTAATTTGAGCTTGATTCACAACCCCTGGATATTTTGACGGATCATTGGTGTTTGCATTGTCTTTTCCATTTAGTAAGGTCGTACCTGCAGCGGCAGCAGCCTGAGTGTTATTGGAAGTTGTGGAAGAAGTAACACCAGTAGTATCCCTTCTGCTGCTTGCATTAGTAGTGGTACCGTTATTTCCCTGATCTCCCTGCAGAGATGTAGGTCCTGCTGCTGGTGGTGCTGGATGTGGGTTAACAAATGGAACAAGACTGCTGCCATTGGACGCAACAGTACACACCTCATCGTACTTGGGGCACTTGATCTTACCGCTTGCGGATTCAGAGAGTTCCACATCGATCATCTTGTTTTCAGGGCATTCGTTCAATATGTTTTTGTCTCCCTTGCCTTTGTACTCCACTTTCACTGTTCGCTTCTCATAGTCACACGATACCTGTGCACACACACCTTTCACGTTCGAAAATGTACTTTCAGCGTCCTTGACTGTCAGTTCAGCATCCAGACACCATGAATCAGGTCCCATAATTGATCCAGGGGGTGCCGAGGTATCTGTCGTAGTATCAGCACAATAAGAAGAGTTCTGTGGCATTTCACGTGCAATATAATCCTCTTTTACGTTACAGGTGCTCTGATATTCTTTGAATAAACTTTCGTTAAGCAGAAACTTCCCGTATGCAGTGCGGTCCGACGTGCATCGAGAAACACTTTGGCCATCGAAGAGACCATTAATGACTTCATTATGTTTCTTCGCGCATTCCTCCTTGAGAAAGGTACATCCACTCTGATTCCCCCAGCTCATTTGTTCCTCCATTCCCCAGTTTGCCTTGTAGAACTGCAGATCCTCAAACAATGCCATTGTGAGTGCTGTATAGTAGCCGGCACCGAATTCACGTGGCACTGTCATCAATTCACCTTTCGCAACGCGCATTGCCCAATGAACTCCCTGACATTCCTCTTCGCCATTGTGCGCCTCCAGTTCCATTACTGTTAACGAAGGACAACCGTAATGTTCCCGTGCTTTTCCCACTGTCTTTGTGGAGTTTAGCAACGCACGAGTTTCCTCAATGGGATCCACTTCGGACAACATTCTCCTTCCCTTCATCAACTCGTACTCAAATCCCAGTGCGTGTGCCATCTCGTGTGCAACACGGCGAACGTTGAACCGCGTGCCACGGTTATCATTCGATTCAGGAGCGTAACTCACTGCTCCAACGATTGGACGCCCTGTTGAATTTTCCACGGCACATGTGTAACCAAACCTCATCTTCTGTACAGCAATCACATAGAGGGCAAAGTCAGCATCAAAACCCACAGTACGGTGCTTTTCAGGTACAGTAAAAAAATTGCAATTACTGTCATCTTTAAACTCAGGCACCTTCAGCTTTCCACTCACAGGGCGAACAAGTAGACGATCCCTGTGCAGTTTGATAGCAGCGGGAATGACATTATTCACTAGATTATCCCTTTCCTCCTCAGACGCTCGTTTATAATCGCACTTCTTATCATCTGCGAGTGATACCTTTGTATTTTCTGCTTGTCCATAATCTGCCCCATTAACTTCTTCTCTTTTCTCTTTTTCCTCTTGCTTTATCTCCTTTACCTTGCCGCATAAATTTAAATGTTCAGTCAAGTTCTCCGTTAACGCCTTAATGCGGATCAGCTCCCATCCTTCATTCTCATTCTGTGTGGCGACGGTGTACGCCTGCACACCACTCTGTCCCTTGCGGGGCAACTCCCGCACAACACCAGTCGACTGCACGCCGCCGTCGTTCTGCGCAACACACACACTGGCGCAGCACAGAAACAACAGCAGGAGAAGCAGCGGCATCACGTACAGTGACTGGCACACTGTGGCGGGTGTGAGGGCACTCAATTTGTTAGCTTGCTGTGGCATATAATGAATGCTGTCTACAGTAGAGAAAGAAACAAGAGGCAAAGAAGGGAAGAGAGAGAAAAAAGAGTGAGGAGCGCAGTACATAACAGCCACCAACAGCCACATACCATTCATGCACTCACTGCCTGCAGCAACCATGTCACTCACAGTGCTTGTGCCACCATCCCACCCACCCTAGTCCCACCTACGCAGAGAGAAGAGAAATGAGAATTCGTATGCAGCACACTGAACACATACGGAATGCAGCCTCCCACAGGCATAAAACCACATTTCTTACCACACTCCACGTAGAGATGTTTCACAAGGTATAAAAGGTGAAACACATGTAAAATAAGCAAGACCATACCCATTACTTAGTTATTACCCAGAGTCCAAAATTCCCCTTTTCTGCTTTCACACACAGAAATGAATCTCATTATAAAGAACTGAAGTAAAAATGAAACTTACGAAAACAATGCAGCCCAAATTTCCATGGATCGTAAACAACACGTTCCAATTCTTTCAGCAAATAAAATTAAATAGTCTTTTTTTCCAATGTATTAGAAGAAAAGAAACACACTGAAATATAATTGTTTTGAAAAGAAAAAAGATACCATTAATAGAATCATGTTCATCTGCCTGGTATCGCAAAATTATGCAACAAGAGACTGTGTTGTACTATCAAACAGCCCATGGACAGCTTGCCTATCCTCATTGCGGCAGAAACAGTTTCCATTGGGATACTGACTGCTGTATTGGTGTCCCCTGTTGTGCTTGAAGAAGTGTTTCACAGAAGACCCATCAGAGTGAAGGTCATGGCGAGAGGCACAAGAGCAGA